CACTCAACACGTTTATTTTTCCGGAAATCTCCTACCTTCATCATTTAACCTGTGAGGTTTCCGTAAGCAATCCTCACTCCACGCATCCATGCGTCACGCGTCTTTGGTAGCGCATACTATGGGGGCTATATTTGGGGTGGCGTGTTTTACAGCGCTTTGCCAACAGCGCCAACCCACTGAAGTCTANCGCATCCATGCGTCACGCGTCTTTGGTAGCGCATACTATGGGGGCTATTTTTGGGGTGGCGTGTTTTACAGCGCTTTGCCAACAGCGCCAACAGACTTGAGTCTAGATTGCGGGGGGTGGGGGCATGTTTTAACAACGTCGTTCCCAAGGAACGAAAACCCAACCCCGATGGCAAACACCGGGGGGGGGAACGGGGGGTCTCACCGGACCAGGCTCTCACATCACCAAGAGCGAAGCGCCGTGAGATATTCGGCGAGTCGCATGAAGGGTGCGCTGCATCCTGCNATCTAGCAACTTGTCTAGCTCCTCGCTGCAGCATCCGATGACGATGACACGCATATGCTCGCGAAGCTGCTGATGAGACCTTCAATTTGCACCGCTTCTTGGAATAGCCCGTCCCCTACTTGCCAAGAAATGGCAAGAGGCGTCTGGACCCGAATTTCAATTTTTTTGGCTCTCGCTCTCAATCAGATACTTCGCTCTCAATCAGGCGAATATGTTGTTGCGTACGGATGAAAGCTGCGAATGCAGGACTTAATATATTTTCTGGTGCTTTCACTTCCAGACAGTTATAAGCACTGTATAAGTGCCTCGGGGTGCTTGACCAATTCGACACAACGTGGTGCGATCATCCCCCGGGCGCGGAGTGAGGGTTCACCCCGCACAACACGATCTACTCGACCACCATTATGGTTACCGCCAAAAAAAACAGAGGTAAGAAAAAAAAACGGCAACCCGGTTGCCGAGCTCACGAAGTGAATTGGCTTGTTTAACAACGTCGTTGCCAAGCGACGAAAACCCAATCCCGATGGCGAACGCCGATGGGGGGACTCGTTTTGCAACGTCGTTGCCAAGCGACGAAAACCCAATCCCGATGGCGAACGCCGATGGGGGGACTCGTTTTGCAACGTCGTTGCCAAGCGACGAAAACCCAATCCCGATGGCGAACGCCGATGGGGGGACTCGTTTTGCAACGTCGTTGCCAAGCGACGAAAACCCAATCCCGATGGCGAACGCCGATGGGGGGACTCGTTTTGCAACGTCGTTGCCAAGCGACGAAAACCCAATCCCGATGGCGAACGCCGATGGGGGGACTCGTTTTGCAACGTCGTTGCCAAGCGACGAAAACCCAACCCCGATGGCAAACACCGGGGGGGACGGGACGGGAAACCAACGGGAGGGAAGGACAAACACCTGAGTCCCTGCACACAGATATTTCCTTCAGGCGCCCAGCAGTTCTCTCCACGCTCATATAGCTTCACAGAACCACATTCATTCAAAGTTCGCGTTCTTTCGGCAAGGGTCGCGTTTTACCGTCCAAGAGCATCGACCCTTGTCCGTTTTCGCCGGCGCTTGCGACTGACTAACTCCTTTTAGTCGGAGTCATGGCAACACCTCATGATCCTTTCAAACCACCTTCGTCTTGCTTTTGGGCAACAGGATCCGTTGTGTGTCAGTATGGTACTCAGCTGCTCTCGACTTCCTACATCCGTATCCTTGCCAGCCAATGTCCGGGTTGTACTTATATATCTACCACGTCTGTGCTGGCCATCCAATCTTCCCATAAAATACACACAACTAAAACACCCACGCTAGAACTATGAAACCAAGGTCACCAAAGGCTACTCTTGTCCCCACACGAAATGGGTAAAAGATCTGACGAAACACGGGCCGCCTGAGACACGGAAAAAAGTGCATGCGGAGTACTCCATGGATGTATCCGCCGCACACATCTATTGAGAGACAATAAAACAGGCAATCGCCCTTCGCTCATGCAAAGGAAGCCAAGTATTTGCCGACAGTGGAGGATGGCGAACAACGCGTATGGCATGGAGCGGCACTCAACTTGACGTAGGACAAGCGGCACCCCTGCCCCGGCGTTATCATTAACGCGATTCATCTTCGCACGGCAACTTCATGCCGTGGTCGCTTTTTGAATGGAACCGAGCATGTAGAAAACGTCCCAACCGAGAGGGCACGCCTTCATCACCCCGGCTGTTGTTGAGGGTCGGACCCGAAAACAAAAAATCAACCTGGAGAAGACCATGGCAGACAAGCAACACAACAACAACTACTCGAAATAACAAATGATCCAACAGATACAACGTCAAAAGACCTCCGCGACTTTCCGGCCGAACCAAAAAACAAGCCCACCCACCGCACACAGCCGTGTAAGCACATGGGCCTAAATCGACACCAATACACGAACCACACGATCAACCACCTCTGCACAAAAGTAAGAAGCTTCTCGTACAACATCGAAAAACAGGCACACGAATGGACGGCCGAAACATTTCGCTGGGGAAAGGGGGCGGGGGGGGAGAAGAGAGAGGAGCAGATTTCATCCTTGTGTCTGAAAACCCTTTTGTAGTTTCGGGGGCACCAAAATCAACGAATCGCGCGCCTTCTTGCCCATGCATCAAATCTTGAGGCTCACGTCCTGCCTCCCTTCCTTCCCTCCTGCTCGAGGAGGGCTAGCCTCCCCGCGCCTCCCGGGGGATCTCCACCTATGTCTTGGGGCCTTGGCCACCACTCTAGGCTCCTCTCCTGATCTTGCGTCACCCCCGGGGACTCGAGAGGCCGCCGACGGCGGCTGAGGCACTGACGACAATACCGGCGGGCGATTCGTCCTTGAGGGACCCCCCAAAAGCGGTAACTTGCCGTTAGCAGCGAAATTCTCCCCGCCTGGCCCACCGGACAACAGGTAGGGTGGTATGTGTTCCAAGCGCTCTCTCTTTTCCCCCGGCCGCTCTCGGCAAGGTCAAGCGGCACCGCTCGGTGCGTTCGCCCCTGGTCTCGGCAGCGGCTCCGCGGCTTGCCCTACCCCCCCTACCGTTGGCGCCGCGGGAGCCCCGCCGTCCGGCAGTGGTTCCCCGAGACCTCCAATGGAAACCTTCGTCTCGTCTCCGGAAGATGTTGAGGAAGGTGGGGCCTCAGCAGCAGCGACGGCAGGGGCGGCGGCGGAAACAGCGCCGGGCGTCGTCGCGACCCCCCCCGCTGATGCCGTCGCCGGGAGCCCGCCGCTAGTAGACTGCTGCGTCGGCGGTTTCGGGTCCAGACACACGCCTCGAAGGAGGGGGTGGATGTCGACCACCTCGGGGTTAACGTTGCTGTTGAACTGCACCCGCTTGCCGTTGTCGACCTTGGTGGCTTTCGCTGGAAACGAGCACAAAAGAACACGGCATGGGTTGGAGCGGTAGCAGTCACGCAGCGTCGGCCCCTTTGCTGTGTGATTTGCTGGAGTGGGATAGGTCGCAAGGCGTGGAGACTTGCGCCAACAAGGCCTCAGATTTAGCGGAGACGTGCGCCAGTTGGCGCGCTGCGCTCTACACACCAAGATTCGTGCCAACACCCGTAAAATTTTCACTCGCACCTGCACTATCAGCCCCTGCCGCAGCGCTTGCAGCAGCAGCGGCCGCCGCTGTCGATTCCCGCTGCCAAAGCTGCTCCCGCTGCTTCTCCCGCTGCCTGAGCCGTCGCCTGCAGCAGCAGCAGCACACTGCCAATGAGATGAGGAGCACCGCCGCGATTCCGCCGCCAACAGCGGCCGCGATAGTGGAGGAAGACACCCCGTCGTTCCCGTCCCCTCCACCTGTTTTCCGGGGTCCGCAGGGAAACGGCAAGCAACGAGCAAACAAAACAATGTCGTCGCGAGAGTATCCCAGCCTACCGAATCAGACACCGAATGGCGCCCTAAGCGCGAGCGAACTGCTGACTTCCTCACGGAAGCGCCCGACATTCAGACACAGCAGTGGGGATGGATACCTCCCCACCCCCGCCTAGCGTGGTCACTGGCCAAAGGCAAGCCGCCCCGGCATTGTAGGGACGCGAGGTCAGTGGTCTAACGACTACGGCATGCACGACTCTGAGTCGCTGCACCCAATATTCCTTTAGCGGGCCTACGCCCCCCCCCCCCCCCCCCCCCCCCCCCCCCCCCCCCCCCCCCC